TCTGTATGTATAGGCAAGACGTTAAAGTTGTTTTTTTAATGTTTTTGAGATTTTTTAAAAATCTCTCCGAGGCTGCATGTATTTGAGGGAAAAACACAGTAAAAGCATACTGTGAAATATTATTATCATTTCAAATAACTGTTTTATATTTTAATATATTTTAAAATGTAATTTATTCCTGTGATGGAAAAGCTGGATTTTCAGCAGCCATTACTCCAGTCTTCAGCGTCACATGATACTTCAGAAATCATTAATATGTTGATTTGGAGCTTAACAATCTTAATATCTTAACTTTATTATTAATAACTACATTTTAATATTCTATATAATACATTATATATTATAATATTAATGATATTATATTGATATTAGACATACTGAATTTTTGTAACTCATGTTTCCAGAGTAGCTTTTATGTGATTACTTTGTAATTGTTTTTATTTAAAATTATATTCTAAATTGAATTGTTTTGATGCATGTTTTCGTCTCTTTTTTGTATTTCAATGTATTTTAGCTTTTTGAGATGCAATTTTGAAAGGTGCTAAAAAAAAGTTTATTATTAATGATAATAATAACAACAACTACATCTACAACATTTTAATATGATCAATTTGATGCTTGCTGAATAAAAATATTAACTTCTTTTTTTTTTTAATGATCTGTGAAGGAGGACTACTGAGGTCCTCTATAAGGTCCTCTATCAAATGGCCTCCTCATGCTACTGAAAGATGTTGTTAAATTAGTAGCATTGCTAACTTTGTACTTTTAGTTAGTTACCCCAACATACATCATTTTAATCAACTTCAACATCAACTACTAAACCTGCTTTTTACTTTATGACTGCATAAAACACCAAGTTATCCAGATATATACTGAACAAATGACACTCCTCAGAACCAGTAACAACATACACACATGCCCTCAGCCATAAACCTTCAAAAACTGTGCAGTGGGAGTGTTTGAACGGCTTTTCTGTTCCCTACATTAGTCAATTCTTTCAGGAGTGTAGTTCAGCCCTGCAGGGCTGTGCTGATGATTCTGCATGGCTGCAGATGTGTCCTATGAGTACAGACAAACAATGGCTGAACCCCTCTGTGAAAACAGTGCAGTCCCTCACAGCACAAAGGACGCTTTACTTTATGTTTAACCCCACATGAGGCCAGATCTTCAGCCACTGCACTTGCCAGGAGGAAGCTACTGGAGTTGGTTACTCCTGTGGCTCAGGGAATTATTGTATTACACTGCCAGACAAAGACAGTCCAAACATTCAGGAAGAGGTTGTACATGGGAAGGTTTGGGAAATAAATGAGCTATTGATTACAGGTGACCTTCAGAGGCCAGACCACAACCACATCAGGCAGGCATTTACAAGTGTCTGCGATACAAGAAGAGACAGCTACAATTTCAGAGGAAAATTAAACACATTATGTTCATTGCACGGGAAATGTGAATGAATAAGCAAATGTTTATGTAGGGATAGATATTAATGTTCAAAGAAAGATTTGTTATACTGTAGGTAAATCTATTATTCTTTGGCCAAGGTTAAATATTATAATAATACAGATCATAATGTTGCAGAATCAAGAGTATAAAACTGTAGATTCTCAATTTCTCTGGTCAGTGGTACCCCAATCCCCCCCACCCCCCACATCAATACATACTGTCTGACCCATATTCAGCAAAAAAAAAAATCAGTCTCATTAACAGTCAGCATTATTTCACAAGTAATTCTGATAATATGATCAATGATTTCAAAATAAAATAACTTATACAACAAATTACTAATATTTATTATTAATATCTATTCATATATTAATTATGATTTTAGCTCATGGTGCACATTATTATTATGGTGTTAAAAAAATCTTAAAATAAATTTAACTAACAATTTGCTATTGGTCTCCTTCAAAAAAATTACTAATAAGAAATTCTTGAAAAAAGATTTTAGATTTGATTACCTTTCCAAAATCTCGGACATCAAAGAGATCGAAGGCATCAAACAGTTCACTCTTCTTCATCCCAAATGCTTCGCAGCATGCAGACAAGAACGTACGAATATTCTTCAGGCAGAGGAACTGATAAAGCAAAAAAAACAAGATTCTGTTCATTTGTTTATGTTTTTGCACACCTAGTGAAAAATAAATATACTAAAATGCATTTAAAATACATTTATTTCATGCTAAGTCTACTACAAATACATTTACATATTTAGGTACTTCAAAAAAATAACCTGCAATTGCACTTTTATTATACTAAACTGGTATACTTCATTTCTGCTAAATTGGAAAAACTATTTTTGTACTTAATGCACTTTAATTGTGCAGAAGTAGTGCTGAAGTACTAAAGATATACTGAAGTATATTTGATTGTGCTAAAGTGGAACTAGGCTATTGCAATACTTCAGGTACACTTTAAATATCTCACGTTTAAAGAAGAATAATATTATTCAAAAATCATACAATCCTCATCAATAGTGACACTAAAACACATTTTAGGCTTTTTTTAGGCACATTTTGAGGATATCATGGGAATCTTTTGTGAAAATGTGGCCTTGAGATAGATTAATTAGTGGAATCATTACGTCTTTTCCCTGTAGATGAGGAAATGAGATTTCCAACTAATCACAAACAGACTCTCTTGCCTAATAGGTGCTATTAACAATATTTTTTCTTACTATGCACAAGAGACCAACTTTGAAAATGACATAGAGTATGAGGAACTTCACACTACTATCAGTCTATTGTCATGATTGAATTTAATTTAAACAATTTAATGCCATTAGTTCACAATTGTGTATTTAAATGAATGTGAACTAATTCCAAAGCACTAAAACCACACTTATCAAAATACACCATTTGAATGAGTCAGATAAGTGACAGGAATGCCGACTAACGCAACAAGGGATGTTGTTGAAAATTGCTCTTTTCCGTTGTCTGATGGAGACTGACTGTGTCTCATCAATCCAGAAGGGTGGATTTGTAAGTTTAAAAATCAGTCAGATCAAAGTTGGATTTTATCAGGTCACTGGAGTGAAACAGGGGCATCTGGGAAGAGTTGTTCGGGCCTGGGCAGACTGCCTGAGACTTCTCAGCCCTAAACACTTACTTACACAGACAGAACATTCATCTGGATGTCTTTTGGGTCCCTACCAAATCACGATGTACATTTAAAATTGATGTTTCATTAGCTCAATGTTTACCCAGTTTGTTGAGAGTTTTGCAGACTGACTGAATGATGCCGTATACAAAGAGAGCTGTGTATATATCTACCACTAGGCCCTTTGTGAAGAGAAGTCTATTCTACCACTTGCACTGGGGCCACTTGTATTGCTATGGCACTGGCTAGTACCTACTATAAAGCCTTAAATGACTTTAACTTACAAAAACGTCCAAATATACTAAATATATAATATGCAGGTTAAAATGAAATGCACTGAAATAGATATTCACATACTGAACATGCCATTGAGTCCAAAGTTGTGTGGTTAGGTTAGTGTTTCCGTAACTGGAGTATATTAAAAATAGAGTATATAAAAAAATGGAGTATATAAAAAATACAAATTAATTCATAAGCAATAATAAAATAACGCTAGACTGTCTATTTGCGCTCACCTGTGACATCTGTGGTCTGAGATTGATCTCTTTCAGGTTAATGGTGTCGGGTCTGAGATTGTTCAGCAGTTGGCACAGAAGCACCCCATCCCGAAGAGTTTGGGCCAAATCAAAAACCTGCGCCGAATCCGCCGTGACCCGATGATTCCGGGGCAAAACTTTACAATTGATCAGCCACAAGCTGCACTGCCTCCAGTACTCCATAATGCGCGTATAAAATTAAAGCCAACAACTGTTAAATAAATCTGACACAGTTGAATGAAGCTAAGATGTAGAAACAGCCGAAGCAGAGCGCACACCTTGCGTTACACTGAGTTTTTTTTTTTCTTTCTTTTTGAGCTTGCGCTCTTAGTTGCCAAAACGGAGACTTGTGCGCACTAATTTGGGTTTATCCGCGGTCTACCAAAACTATAAATCCCCATCAGCGAGTTACGAATTCTAGTACGGCAAAGGTTTTATAATAAGTGTAGAGTGCTGCATTGCATCGCAATCTTCCAATGATGAAGTCTTAGCTTATGAATATTCATTCATATTGTTGACGCTGCGTTGTTGATCTTCCAGTGGCGAAGATTCATCTCATGAATATTAAGGACCAAGTCTTCACCATAGTAGGATAATTTCACCCCCCACCCAATCAAATGCTCTTCCTTTTCCGTTAGTTTTGACTATCAGATTGACTCTTTTAACTACAGAAGGTCTTATATATTTAGACCTCTTGCAGATATCTATCCTTCCTGTAAATATCATCTTGAATTTGAAGGCATTTGTATTACTCTGTTAAAACTGTAAAAAAAAAAAAAAGAATGTCAATCATGTAGGATTAATAATGTTATAACAAAGAAAAACATTAAGAATTATGATGTAGTGTAATGCAATAATTTGCAGCTTTTTATAGGCAAAAGAATCCCTTTTAGTGGGAATTAGAGGACATTCCAGATGAATTGAACATGGCTTTCCAGAGCTGATCATTAAACAAACAATGACGGAGAAGTGGGTTTAGAGTAACAGTTAAACTCACACACAGACAGTAAGTTATTTTATGCTCTTCTAGTAATGCAGATGTGCATATTTATCTTAAATAATGAGTATGTCAGTAAAACGATTATTATTATTATTATTAGACTATTCAGATAATTTTATGAATGCGAAAGTTGTAATATTTCGTGTGTTTCAGTTAATAAAATGAATGAATCGGCCAGTAGCAAATGTATAAAAATGAATTGTAATTTTTGTTCTTTTTTATTTAGTTAGTTAAATCAGGCATTGCCTATATTTGTCATTTTTATAAAATTATAAAACCAGTCTATTTGACAAACGAACAAATACAACATTGCACGTGCATTGCTACGTTGTGTTGTCACGTGCTTAATTGCATCCAATCAGCAGCACGGAAAACGCAGTTCCATGACACAAGCGCTTTCACATTAAATGTATTGTGTAACTTGTACACTTCAGACTCCGCTTGAAGAATATAAGATTTCAAGGTGAGCAACAGTTTCGTTTTAAACTGTATTAACCATTAGTACGAGTTTCATGTGTGTATGTTGCCGACGACGTATATATTCTAAGCTATATAAGGTAAGCACTACAGTTTCTCTTTTATTTATTTGGGTTCTGTTTAATAGGCTACGTGCGTTTTATCTTGCTGTCACAGATGTCTCTTGCCCTGGCTGACAGGGCTATCGGAGCAATCATTGGATCAGCTGTTGCCGATGCTGCAGGTTTGCATTTCTTGCGAATACTAGTAACAAAATATACCAAAAAGCCTTATATATAACAAAACATATTTATATAACATATAAACATCTCTAATATATCACAACTGAATTGACGCAGACAGTGTTACAGTACACATTACTGTGTATTTACATAAGCATTTACACGTATAAACTGACATTATTTTATGGAGATGCAATGTAATCATACATTATTTGTGTCATTACTGTAGTAATTAATTATAGTTGCAGGTAATGTGTGAAACATGAGCACTGTATTATCCTATAATCAAATGTTGACAAATGCAGATTTTTGTTGGTACTGTACATTCTGCAGCACAACCGCTCCATTGGGTCTATGACCTGCAGAAGCTGAGCGTGTTGCTCTCTCAAAGTCCTGAGCCTGAATTCCGCCCTGAGTCTGCAAACCCATTCTACAGGAGGAACACTGGACAGCAGAGCTGCTGTTGCCGACGACGTATATATTCTAAGCTATATAAGGTAAGCACTACAGTTTCTCTTTTATTTATTTGGGTTCTGTTTAATAGGCTACGTGCGTTTTATCTTGCTGTCACAGATGTCTCTTGCCCTGGCTGACAGGGCTATCGGAGCAATCATTGGATCAGCTGTTGCCGATGCTGCAGGTTTGCATTTCTTGCGAATACTAGTAACAAAATATACCAAAAAGCCTTATATATAACAAAACATATTTATATAACATATAAACATCTCTAATATATCACAACTGAATTGACGCAGACAGTGTTACAGTACACATTACTGTGTATTTACATAAGCATTTACACGTATAAACTGACATTATTTTATGGAGATGCAATGTAATCATACATTATTTGTGTCATTACTGTAGTAATTAATTATAGTTGCAGGTAATGTGTGAAACATGAGCACTGTATTATCCTATAATCAAATGTTGACAAATGCAGATTTTTGTTGGTACTGTACATTCTGCAGCACAACCGCTCCATTGGGTCTATGACCTGCAGAAGCTGAGCGTGTTGCTCTCTCAAAGTCCTGAGCCTGAATTCCGCCCTGAGTCTGCAAACCCATTCTACAGGAGGAACACTGGACAGCAGAGCTGCTATGGAGATCAAGCATTCGTCCTCCTGGAGTCCCTGTCTGAGTGTGAAGGTGAAAAATACAAGATAGATACATTCCAGTATGTAAGAATATGAAAGGCGAAACTGTGTTTGAAAATCTGATTAGGATGGTATGAATATCACCATATTATTTGACCATGTTGTGGTTAATGGGATGTTGAATATTGAGTTGTTTGTTGGTTCAAACAGGTCTGAATGTGGAAGATTTGAAGCAGCGCACCTACAAATTCTTTGGACCTGGATCTGAATATGACACACCAGTCAATGATCCTTACAGTGACAAAGGAGGTAAATTAATCTACTGCACCTCAGCATTTTCATATTTGTTTACTTTTTTATTAGTTCTTCTTGAAATATTTGATGTGTTTGTTTTTCTACACTATGACAGCTCAAATGATCCTTTATATTACAATACAAACAATTGTAAATATATATATATATATATATATATATATATTACTATTATTATTATTTTTACTACTAGTATGGTTCAGTACTGTTTTTGTTAATAAAGCACTATTTTAGTTTTTGTTCAGTATCAATTTTAAAACAATCGGTTAATTAATCTGTATCGGCCAGTGTGGTCCAACCTAGCTATCGGTATCGGCAAAATCCACTATCGGTCGACCTCTAATACAGTATGATTGACATGAGATGTGTACATGCAGCTTAGCACAGCTTGCCTCAGAAACTAGGCTATTTATTTTGGTTTCCAACATAGAATGGTGGAAAATCACAAATTAGAATGTGTGAGGAAATGATATAGGAGCTGATCCCAATAATATAATAGGAAGTATCAGTGTTCAATTTCTTTTTTCTTCAGGTTCTTGGAGCATTTCATCCTGAATGGTCCTGATCCCAAGGCCTTGGATGCAGTGCTGAAACAGCTCAATGACCCAAACAGAAAAAACCCTCAGGAGTTGGACAAAGCTATAATTGGTATACACAGCTTTAAATTGTTATTAGTATTGTGAGCTGGATGCTTAGGGCATGTTTACATTTGGCAGGATTCATGTGAAACTTTGCATATATCACAAAGACATCATTTAATATCAGAAATCAAACTTATTTTTGTTTTAATTTTCTAATTTAGGACACATTCATCAAGTAAAGGACAATCTGAGCAAGAAACCCAAAGAGCTCATTCCCACTGTGTTTCCAAATACTTGAGGTTAGTTACCTGCAGCTGATAACCTTTTATTATTCTCTTATGTCTATCCTTTGCACACAATACAGTTAGTCACAGGTATTTCAGCAGCTTTATCTTGTCTCTCAGGTTTGCCAGGTGCATTCCAGGCAGCACTGCATGGGGTTCTGACAGCCAGTGGCTATGAGCAGGCTATTCGGGACACTATGAGCTGCGGTGGATGCACCTGTAGCAGGAGCTCCTTCATCGGCGCCTGCATTGGCGCTCAGGTACTGCCAAAAATCATGACCTTGTGATCCGTTTGACCGCATTGTTCTATCCATAAAACAAAGTAGGCTTTATGTAATTAAGGTCAAATTATTTTTGTGCTATCTGTTGAACACTTATCTTTCTGAACAATCCATTCCAATCTTTCATTGGATGATTATGTCATACATACATGACAGAATGACTATGCAGTTACTCTTGCAGTTTTGTAATGGCTCTAATACTGTGACACTTGTTTTTTCAGGTTGGACTTGAAGGAATCCCAAGTTCCTGGAAAAGCAAGACTTTGCGATACAACACTTTGTTGGTTCTCGCAAAGAAAGTTGTTACTCTCCAACAGCTTTAAACTTTTTAGTATGCAAAGTAAATAAGTGGATGATAACTGGATATAATTATGTAATCACCCAAGTTCTTCTGAGTTTTCATGGCTGTTGTGATTTTGATGATACAATTAATGAACGTTTTAGCTTGAAATATTATGAAGTTAAAACTTGATACCTTTGTTTTATTAAATCACAACATGGCATGCAGAAATTGACATACACTGTGGCATTAAACTCATGTTCAGTGAACACACTTTGTATTTGTCTTGTTATTATTCTATTAAAATGTAAAATAAGATCATCTACTCAAGAGTTAAGAGACAACCTGTTCTGACTGTTAGCGCCATCTAGTGGACTTTACGAAAACCTCAGCAGTTTTATATAAAAATAAAACATTTTATATCAGTTATATTAGAGATTTTTCAAGTTCTCAAAACACACCAATATATTATTCTTTCCTATTAATAATGTTATTAGCATTATTATTTCTAAACAATAAATATTTTATTTCCTATCATTTGTTGATCGATTTCTGTGGATTTATTGAAACGTATAATTATTATTATTAATAATAATAAATATTAAAAATATTATTAATTAGAAATATTATTATTAATTACTAATAATGTATTTGATGGTCAAACTGCTGTCTAAAGCCTTGTCCAAATACCCACACTTGCAGTCTTGGCCACTTGAGAGCGTGTGCGCGCGACAGGAAGTAAGTGTGCAAGTCTGTCCCATGTCTTCAAAATGCCAAAGTGCAGTGCCCTTAATGGATACTAAATCCACACTATCTCGAATACCGCTCCAGAGCGCTATTCAAGGCTAAGTGTATCCCATCATGCATCATGTTCTGGAAATAAATCGTGAGACTTTTTGCCGAGATCGCTCGAGAGGTCACGGAAACCTTTCCGATGTAAGTTAAATATTAATATAATAATTAGATATTACAAATAATTTGGTAGAAAAACAGTGTTTTTACTTTTATTGGTGCAAAGATGAGTAGTGGTGATATTTATTTTGTACAACATTTGCAACTGCTTTTTATCATTTAATTAGAAGCACCACAAATTAAAATTGTCATGTTATAGGGACTACTGAACAGACTTTAGAAGTTGATTTTAAAATGCAAAGTATTTCAAATTCAAATTAAAATAAATCTCTGTAAACACTTGCATTTTTACAACACTATAGTGTGTCCCATCAGGTAATGAAAAGTTCGACACACACTTGTGGTCTTCACACCCACTTGAAGACTTCGGCCAAATACAGGAAATACGTCATATAAGTAATCAAGTGGTCAAGTGCAAAGACTGCAAGTGTGGGTATTTGGACAAGGCTTAAAGCAGGCTGCACACTAGGGTTTGAGGCACGTCCGTTGGCTATCTCCACACTTCCTCCTCACCAGTGTTGTGCCGCGAGTTGTTTTTCATGTCTGCGGGTTTAAAGGGGTCATATGATGCGATTTCAATTTTTCCTTTCTCTTTGGAGTGTTACAAGCTCTTGGTGCATAAATAAGATCTGTAAAGTTGCAAACACTAAAGTCTCAAAACCAAAGAGATATTCTTTATAAAAGTTAAGAGTTAGCCACACCTACCTAAAACGGCTCGTTCTAACACACCCCCACATATCTACATCACTATGTGGAAAGATTTGCATAACGTCACCCAAATGTTCACGCAAAGAAAGAAGGGTAACTTTTATTCTCACTGTAGTATTGTTGAAACTGCCGCCATGTCGTGGAGACGCTGTGTGCTTCGTTGTGAAAGCGAAACTACTTTGTTTGGCCTTCCAAAAGAGGACGATATCCGCTTCGTCATGCCTAGAGCTGATCCGTGCTGGTCGCTGAGAAAATAAATCAACTTCGCGCTGTGGATGGCCGGATCGGCTTTCACCGTTTTCACATCTCCTTCGTCGGATCCGCCGGGACCGCCGTTCTCGATCCCGCCACCCAGCTCACGGTAAGCCGGGGCTTTCGCTCATGCTAGGCCGCTGTGTGCTTCGTTGTGAAAGCGAAACTACTTTGTTTGGCCTTCCAAAAATGGACACGACTAGAAATCAGTGGTTGGCACTTGCTTGCCATGTCTAGGTAGTTGACTAGGTGGCTTGGGAGGTCTTTATGCGAGTATGGAAGGTTCTTGCTTTTGATGGTTCGGCCAGCCAGCTCCAGCAGCGACGGGGGGTCGTAGGTCATGTCCTTGACGAAGCGTACGACCAAAGGATTGCCTCTGAGACTGAGCTCCTGAAGACGCACCAGGCTCAGGATCTCTCTCGGAAGATACGTCAGCAGGTTATTATGCAGACTAAGAGAGCGCAGGGAATGGAGCCTGTGAGGGTGGAAAGAACAGCAGGACAGGCAAAAAAAAACATCTTTAATATTTATTTTATTATTATTACAACTACTACTACTAAGTACTGTAATATATCACAGAATATTAATACATTATCTAATATTTATTATATATGAAATACCTAATATAATATCATTTTTGGGATATCTAAGAAGAATCAATATTAGCTGCATTGTTATTTTAGTATCATTCATCTTACTATTATAGTTTGTTAATATTTTTTATTATATATTTTGTTTTCATTTAAATTTTAGTAATTGTTGTGTTTTTGTCTTTTTTAATGTCTATGTAGTTTTTTTATTACATTTTATTTGTATTTATTTTAGTATTTCAAATTTAACAAAATAACAATTAGCTGAAATTTAAGCTTTTTGATTATTTTATTTCAAGTAATAATTTTTTTTTTATGTCTTTAGTTTCAGGTAACAATAATAACCCTGATGATCTGTTCAATGTTTATCATCAAAATAATTGCAATATGTTTTTTTTTTACCAAACCGTGCAGCCCTGAAGGACAATTAGGCACACTCTGCTAGCAAGCATTTGTGTGACATCTCAGACTTACTTGTTGAGTTGAGGTGGGACGCTCTGGATGCGATTATCACACAGAACTAGGTAACTGAGGCAGGGTAAGTTAGCTAGTTCAGCAGGGATGGAGGAGATCTGGTTACCACCCAGATACAACAGCTCTAAGCTAGAGAGAGAAAGAAGGGTTGTGAAGGGTCGCTACAAATGTGATAAACAAAATAGGAAGTCAAAATGACAATAAGATTGTTATACATGGAATTATGTTATTGGAATCTGGCATGGAAAAACTAAAAGTAATAAATTCTGAAACATTAAAAACAAAATGTGCATCTAAAACCATTAAATGTGTTTTTTCATCCAGTCAAAAAGCAGGTCCTTTTTACTTTGTTTCATCATTACTAGGAAATCAACGGAAAGCACATTAAAGCAACCTTTTTGACTCCAAGGACCCCCTTTGACCAAGACAATATACAAAGACCCTACTATCTAATCTGATATGTAGGCCTAATTAATAGCATTTAATTAATATATTTTACTTATTCGGGCACCCCTGGAAGTTTGCCAATGCCACCTAGTGGGCCCCTGCCCCCAGTTAAGAACCACTGCATTAAAGTACATTAAAAATCAACAGTAATTCTGCCCTATGGTTACTGCCACTGACAAATGATAAAGTAGAAGTGTTTTTATTCTGGTAAGGAAGCCTTCCAGGGAGGAAATGCAGACGTGAAAAAAATCGCCGCAAACATGCAAAGGTTGGCTATGAGGAAATCACTCAACCTTCGGCTGTTTTTAAGTCAATACACATCAATGTTTCACGATAACGAAGATATCTTGTGCAAACATCCCTTTTGTGTTTTTGTCCTAGACAACACATGTCCATGGAATGACTAGCTTAAAGGGGTGACATTAGGATGAAATTTTCACTTTTTAAAAAAATATATTTTTTTAGCTTTTCTGCATTTGGTTTAATTTCTGGCGTGTCTGCCAGCTCAGAAAAGCTGAAAAGAAAACACACAGCCAGTTTGTTATGAGCGGTCTGAGTCTGAAACGGTGTCATCCAGCGAGCTGTTTCAATCTGCAGCCGGTTTCGACGCATATAGCTAGCTATTTGAATAAGACCACCTCCGAGTCCAAGGCAGCAATGCACGCATCTTGTGTCAACACCAAGCGGCAACCTCCCGCTCTCTCTCGTGAAGCCAACAAGGAAGTGACTTAAACTGTAATTCGTCAACTGGCCGCTAGAGGCTGGCTGCAAAAGGGAGTCGATCCCATAGACTCCCCATGTTAAAATGCCCAACTTTACAACACAAAAAAAAACATGTTTACAGCCTGGTTCAAACAATTATTTTGGTCTATATAGCTAATTTTGGCCTTCATGGCAACTGTGAGGGGGGTGAATGTTTTTATAACTCATCTGTTTAAATTATATTAAGCCTTAAAGTTTCCAGCTCCCGCCTCTTTGCCCATTTTCGATATCCGGGAGTGACGCGCTGCCAAGATGGCGACGGCCCGCTCCGCCCACTTTGAGCTCAAAAACGCTCTTCAGAAAACTACGGGTGATGTCACGGACACTACGTCCATGTTTTTATACAGTCCTTTGCTGCATCTCAATAGCTAGGTTTCCATCACCCTGCTTTTATTTTAAGTATTGCATCAGAATCAAGTGATGGAAACGCTCAATTTCGAATAAAAATGCCTTGATTCGCAAAAAAAATGTTACGCTCGCTTGAGGTGGTTTTTGACTTGTGCGATTAAGGGTTAATGCGAATAATGGGAGATGGAAATGCATTTTGAAAATAAATTCCTCCAAGCGCATCAAAAGTCATGTGACTTTGCGCTATGGGACGGCACTGTAATGTTGCTGTTTGAGCATAAAAAAGATCTGCAAAGTTACAAAGCTCAAAGTCCACTTCAAAAGGAGATATTTTATTTAACAGAAATCACTTTTCAAAAACTACAACGAACAACTCGTTTGGACTACAACGCATATTTTCGATATATATCACAAATATCGACGAATGGGATGAGACCTGGTTGAGCTGCACTAGAGAAGGCAACGAGTGTTATCACTATGTCAGAGACACGCTAGCTTTCCCAAGGCAGACAAACTTAGAGTGGTTACAATCATCTGGGTTTAAATCGCGTTCAAATTGATTTGATTTTGACTCAATATTTACACTGAAGCTCTGCAGGCGGCTATGGTATGGGGCATGACATTTCCCGACCAGGCGCCCGAGTGCTGCCAATCACAACACACACTGGCCCAGCTAACCAATCACAGCACATTTCGTATTTCAGAAGGCGGGCCTTCATTTGATACAGGAACTATTCGAGCCGTTCATGCCAGACTGGGGAGAGAGGTGTTGTAATAATGTAAAATATGTGAAAAATAATGTGTTTTTCGAACAACCTAGTATGAGAGCCTGTTCTAGTACACCCCCAAAACAAAATCAAGACTTTGTAAAAGAGCATAATAGGACCCCTTTAATCGATATTCTAATTTTGCGCATAAGTTAAATTCGCAACTTTGAATGGAAACCCCGCTTATGTGCCTACTTATACTACGCCCTTAAAGTATGTACTCTTTTGGTGAAGAAAAAGTGCACACTTTTGAGTGTGTAGTAGAAGAGTAGGCAAGCTTTGGGACATACTATCACTTCACACCATTGCGTCTTTAACGGACCGCTCTGTCGCACCTGTTACACGCACCCTGTAAACTGGCCTGCCAATCATCTTGTCACAGTTAACATCCTCCACATTTCATTAATTTAACTTCCTACCATACTGGAGAGAAAAGAAGTAGCTCGTTGATCTGCCAGTCCGGGGACTTTCATGCGGAGAACTCTGCTCATATTTTCTGCATAATGATGCATTTAAAAGTTAACGACCAAATGGATATTTATAAAAGTTCACATTGCTGTTGCAGATGAAATATAACACAGATAACAATAAATACATATTTTTTTACCAGGTTAAATGTTGATTATTAGTAACTCAAACCCCTTTTTGAAAACCTCTCTACCTAACCGTTGATCGCGCATCCGCCACGTTTGTAGTTTTTCTAACGTGTTTGTAGTTCTGGACCGAATCCTTCGCCAAAGCGCAATGGATTGTAGGCAATTTTAGCCATATTAAGTTTAGAGTGTGCACGGATCCACGCTTCAAAAATCGACCTGAAATAGTAGACCATCCAGGGATTTTTTTTAGCATACTCTTTTCAACATACTATGCTTTGGGACACACTTATTGTAATCTCACATACTATTTAGGATGGATAGTATGAACATTGAGACGCAGGGTATGATTTTACCTCACCGCAATGTGATTTTTACCGGGGGATCCCTCTCGAAACGTGATTGAGCTAGTTTTGAGTAGCAATTGGGCGGGTTTTGTTGTGAAAACCTAGCCTGCTCGCTCTTCACTCCTAACAGCTGCTGGCTGATCTGCGTTAGCAGCTGAAAAATGTATGGTGGCCTCTACAAAAATATTAAAGGGATAGTTCACCCAAAAATGTGAGGGGTGTACTCACTTCTGTGAGATACGATAGAGTGCCAATGGTCCATTTGAGATAGAGGTGGCGGTAATGCACTTATAAGTCTGCGATCCGCCGTAAAGCAACAAGAAGAAGAAGAGAAGAAGAACCCTGCTCTTCACTCCTAACAGCTGCTGGCTGATCTGCGTTAGCAGCTACACTACTGACAGATACACCACAATACCTATACCAAGACAGCCTTAACACGTAACTTACAGCTTTACGCGTTTATTTTTAATTGGTTATCTTCTCATATCTTCGTCTTACATGGACTATACGCTTATTACGACAAAGCGAGCTGAATTCATAAGTGTTTTGGCCGGGCGGAGAGAGGCTATAGCAGGCTAATCTGTGTTTGCTAACAGGCTTCAGCTCAGACTGATCGTTTGAAACATCAGTAACGTTATTTTATAAACACACAGACATGGAGTTCAACGTTAGACGACTAGCAGCGGACGCGGGCACTTTCCTCAGTCGTGCTGTGCAGGTACATTTCTTTAAGTGACCTTAAAGGTGTCTAGTGTCTTAACTTGTGTTTGTTTTTAACCAGGTTGTATTTTCTTTACTTAACGGGACAGTTCAGACAAATTGAATGTTCTGTCATAATTTACCCACCCTCATATCTGTATGATGGTGGAGCACAAAGGGATATTGTTATTATGGCCCGACAGCCGAGGCCATGTCCCGTGAATTCACTTTCATTGCTTTTTTTCCCCCCATAAAATGAAAGTTTATGGTGACCAAGACTGCCATTCTGCCTAATTGTGTGTGTGTGTGTGAGAGAGAGAGAGAGAGAGAGATGTGCACGTTACAGAAAAAAAGTCACATTCATTCAAATTTTTCGGTTAGAACATAAGAGGGTGGAGACAACATATCCTATTAGTTAAAAAAAAAAAAAATTACTAACCCTTTAAGAAGTAGTAAATAAAGTTCATTATTTGTAAAAATGAAAGTTTGTCATATGTTACAACAATTTTAATAATTTTGTGTTAAATATATTCATTACTGACTGTTAATACTGTTTATCAGCTATGTAAGTTAGTACAGTATGTCAACTGCAATAATATACCATAGCAATGCATCATATGGTGTTTTTACATCACATCTTTTAAAATTTTACGTAAAGAAAGCTTTTACTTAATTGTGTTTTTTTTTAATAAGCATTTTCGTTTATATTTATTCACTTCATGTATATGTTTTATTCGTTTTTCTATTTTTAAACCTATTTCTTACTGTTGTATTTGTTTAGATTGTTTTGTTCTGCTGTTTTGGCCTTGTTGCTTTCTCAAATCAATTTACAACGTTTAAAGGCACTATACAAAATAAAAAATTGTATAATTGTTACTAATATTAATGTAAACCGTGGAAAAAGGTCAAATGTTGGCCCGAAATGCAGTCTAGGTCAGCAGCACACTAGGCTTTGGTTTTAAGACCACAGCTGTATGTGTGAACATTAATAAGCCAACTGTAAAATGTCAAATGGTATGTGTAAACTGTAATATATAAACTGCATTGCTGAAATATCATATGTTAGAACCGTCAACAGACTGTTTGCAATCCATTTAGTTCACAGAGGAGAAGTTTGGGCAGGCGGAGAAGACTGAGCTGGACGCCCATCTAGAGACCCTTTTGAGTCGGGCAGAATCCACCAAGCACTGGACAGAGAAGATCATGAAACAGACAGAAGTTTTGCTGCAGCCGAACCCTAGTAAGAAGAAATGCTTGATTAAACAAGACTGTAGTTTAGCTTTACTGCAAGTCGCCATAAAAATACATGCTCATTTATATCACCAGTACAAAGGAAGTGAACTCAGGGTCACAGCTAGTGAAATCATCTCACTATTGCAGTAAACCTAATTGCAAGAGAAGAGTGTGAAGTTCCCCATCTGTTCCTTGCAATGGGATTAAAGACTCAGCCCTAATGATGAGTATTTTTAGCTGTTTAGCCAGGAAGTCAAAACAATGTGGGTTATATCTTACATTTATGATATTAGATTTTCTTACAGTAAGAAAGAAACATATCCTGTCTTTATTCCAGTTTTTGGTGACATATTGGTGTTTTTACCACACTTTGCTTTATTTTCCAAGCACCTCATACAATCATAAAGGTGAAAGCTCATTCACAGTAACACTTTGTAAGATATTTTTGATGTTCAGCAACAGTAATGGTTAACAGGCCTTGCTTAAGAGGATGCATGTGGTCTCATCTGACTCTCACTGCTCTTAATTGAATTTGTCTGATGTTTGTAGATGTCCGGATGGAGGAGTTCCTTTACGAGATGCTGGACAAAAAAGTCCCAATGCGTGCCAACAACCACGAGTTACTGGGGGAGTCCATGATCGACTCTGGACATGAGTTTGGACCTGGAACAGCATACGGTAAACTCATTGCATAATATCATCCCACTCACACTGGACCCTGACAGTATCAGCTAGTGTTTGGAGCTATGAACATATAGATGAAATTATTGTGATGTCACAAAAAGCAACCATGCTTCTTCAGACAAGCAACTTTTAGTGATGATTTTGAGCAGCACCCCAGTTGCCCCCTCCCCCCTGTTAAC